GGAGTGCACTCTGAATATAATATAACTCCCCGCGGCGGAGAAGCTTTTCTCCTACTTCGACGAACCGACATCTGACTTCTCGTGTATCACAAAATAGAGAACTGCACCGAAAGTTTCATATGTGCTCGTGAGGCTCGCGGGCAGATTTCCGTGTGGCCCTTCGTTTGAAGTGGTCCCGAATCCCATTCCAACAGTCAGTTTCGGTCCAGTCCCACATAAAGTTCAGGACAATGTATGCAGATGCGTTGGATTTATAAACGATCCCTACATGCGACTACTTGCAAATACATCGTTTTCCCAAGCTTAGCCCGTATTCGCCCTGCGCAAGCAAAACTAATCCTCAGAACGCATTATCTACGGTCTTTACCTAATTTAAAAGTCATATCCATTTGAAAGTCAGAACATCGATACTGCGTACTGCATAATCCTGTATCGCAAAGTATTAAAAAAAACCTTAAAGTATAAAACGTAAAAAAATAACTGGAAAAATATATAGATCTCGATAAGTTATTCTTAAAATTAAATGTATACGACAAGAATAAGACTAGTACTCCTTATTTCTTACCAATCAAAGTTATCATATTTTTAAGTTTAGACCGTCGTGAGACAGGTTTAGTTTTACCCTACTACTGATGATGACTAGTCAGCGATATTAATCCTGTTCAGTATGAGAGGAACTACAGGTTCGGAATTTTTTTTTCACGCACTCGATTTCAAGCGGCCGATGGTGCTCTTTTGCATTTCTCCATCACAGTTTTAAGCCCTCTTTAAATTTTATCAGTAACATCAAAATAAATAGTATTTCATTGTATAAACAATGAGAACAAGAAGAAACAGATAGATGAAAACTGTAGACGAATGAGATAATACTTGATCTGCGAAAACCATCCCAACGTACATCTCCGCAATTATAGGATAATTTCCCGCAAATCTGTAATTAGTATTTCTAGCTACTCCATCCGTGTGTGTCAACGAACCAAAGGATAGCTTGTTACAAGCTGACATAGATATACCTTTATTCCACGCCTGCGGTGATATACGCTCGGATGCTTTTTAGGGGGTAGTGTACAGTGATTCAGCTGATGCGTATTATGCACACAGTGCGCGTCTCCTGCACGGCTAGCAAAGCTCGATCAACGACGCCGCTGATGCGCGACGCAGCTTGCGTAACGTACACGCACGCCGCAACGCCACGCCACGCCGGCTGACCCACATGCGTGGTCTTTATTTAAACTGGTTTCCTCCTTGGCGTCCTTTAGACTTTCGTCTGTGCTCCGGTCGCCGGGTCACCGGATTCGAGCACGTCATTTTCCACGAGACTGCGTGCAGCTCGGGAAAGGTCGGCTTGTATACATATTTGTGTCTCGTAAAAAAATCATCCCGAGTTAGTTTATGATTCAAGACGACGTTGCGTGAAGAAAATAAAAAGGTTTCTCTTACAAATTTCTCTTTTTGTAATATTCTTAATATTTCTAATAATTTTCTAAAGAATTTTCTTTTTTTTTTTTCTAAGATTTAATAAAATAAACTTGTAATATTTTCTTTACGAGATACTTAATATATATACTATCATTATTTCATCTTTAGTAATAATTTTATTGATAACATTTTTATTAATTTTACTGAAATTTTTAGAATGATGTCACAAATGTCTTTTTATAATAATACATGATGTTAGAGAAAAACGACGGAAGTAATTGCGGAATCATCTCTTTGCGTAGACCACGAAGTGAAGTTCGAATTTGTTCACGGTAGACTTATAGAACCGCGAAAATTTCAATTGCAAATGCCTGTCGACTTTGATACCGAAGGGAATAACGAGCTCCCGAGACGAGCGTTTTTTAAGCATCAACGCGATCTCGTCGAATATTCTTGTTTCTCAAACGTATGTAAAGTTTGAATAATACAGCACAGAGAAGGCGAAGAGGTAGCGCGCAAAAAGGAGCAACACGGAATAAAAATGCACCGTTACGTTTCTATCGATCGCGGCACTTTCGTACCGACGTCGTAGACAGACTTCGAGATCTCTTCAGAGTAAAAGTAACGATACAGAGCTATTATTTATAGCAATAAATATACACATTTATTTTACATAAATTCATTTAAATGTTAATGTGACGAAATGTATTTCATCTAATTACATTTTAATATCAATCGCAATTATTTTTTTTTTATTTCCTTCATATCTTATAATCTTCTTATATATTACTACATTACATCTTTACAGTTATTAATTTTTACACGACAAGAAATTGGCGCTTAAACAATTTTATTTTTTTAAATGGGGAGGGGGGGGGAAGAAATTTAATAAAAAATATTGAATTATAATAAATCTTATTTAAAAAAAAGGTGAGATTTTAAAAATATATCTTCATCCCCTAAAGATTAACATGATTTTCATCAAGATTTTTTGATTGCAAACTATAAGCAATTGCGAAAAACATTATCGGAAAATTCTAATCGCTAATCTTCATTAGCACTTGTCTCGTGTCAACTTTTGTTCTGATTAGCATGCATATTACTTAAAATATTCAAACGCAGATCGGATACTCCTCTCAATTACGCTCGCGTAATACTATAGATGTACTCAGACAACATCGTAATACGAGCGCGCGTATCAGATTTCGCATCTCCTAATCGAACGAGCATTGCAAGTGTTGCTTTATTTCTAGCTGTTTGCACATCATAAGACAACCTGCTTTTGTATTATGAGGTGGATAGTATAATTTGATTCTGGAAAAACGAGAGATACTTTCCTTTCGTCAAGCCACTCACTCGTCCAGAATTTCCTCTCCTTACGAAATGCGTATAATGGGACAATTGCCAAATTTTACGACTACTTGAATATCGCATTATTTATTTTTATTGTGTCAAATACTATGATGGGTATCAATAACTTATCGAGTTTGAAAAAAATTATCAAATGATAATAACATATAACAAACCCTATAGAATTTCGAAATGGCAGTCTGCTCTCATATATTTTTCCACTTTTTATCATATCAGATTATTGTCAATATTAAGTAATTTGACATTTGTCGTCAACTAACTAGTTTATGTTAAGCATGAATATTTCTCAGACTCATGCGACGGACATTTATAGAAGAATGCAAATTCGCAACGTAATCTTCGTGAGTAATCAACGCGCGTATTCCCGCGAGACTCGATGGTGCTACAATCGATATACCATTGTTGCGAGCAGTGCAGCAGGTCGTAGAGACAAGTTCGTAACCAACCGGGGTTGTTCTCTCTCGAGAAGACGCGGCACGAATTCTCGGGATTCTGCCACGATGCATGCGGCCGTATTCCCAAATCGATCGCGACGGCAATGGCGACGGGAACGAGGGAAAAGGGAAGCGGAAGAAGCATCCGGTTGAATTCTGCCGATCCGGTTCTCACTTCGCCGAACAAGTGCACGAATTCCGTGAGGGTGGTCGAAAACCATGAATATACCGTATGTTGGCGTATTCGTGTACAATTCTCAGGGGAAGACGCGCTGGTTCTCTTCCTATGTAGGAAGCTCCACCGTCGCTTCGCGTGTCTCACCTTTCACCGACCTGAGCTGTCATGTCGTTATCATGCAAACGGTGATTTTCTATGATTCATAATGTAACGTATCCGAACGGGTGTCGCAAAGCTCATGCCTAACTCCAAAAAAGAAGGATGAACGACGCTCGATTAGAGGGAAGAAGTTTTGATTCATTGCGCTCACAATGCGATATGAATATAAATCATCGGACGGTATTGTAAGGAAGAAATGAGACGAGTTGTCGTTTCATCTTGTCAAACCGCGCATTTAACTCTATCTAGAAATGATTTATTCTGGTAATACTACATCCAAAGATTGTCTATTAAATCAAATAAACATTTGCATTATTTTCATTTCAGTTATTCTAATTTTAATATTTAATCTTACATTTGATGTATTTTTTAGAAGCTCCGTTTCGTGGAGTAATTTTACAGAGGAGATTAAGAACATTACATTTCATCAACTACATTTTAGAGCTATTTAATCTAGTTTTAAGGGATTATTCTAAGATTTCCGTATTCATATAGATATATCGCCTCATACATAAAAAAACTCCTTTACAATAAAGATCATACTAAGGATGTATTAATTTCTCAAGTCCAAACATACATGTACATACATGTGTTGCACATATAATACATGTAATAAAACATATAAAGCTATACAGTAAATTCTATTCAACAAACGCGACGGTAATGTAAAAAGGATTAACGAGCGCCGTTCTGACCGAAGAGAATGAACAACCTTCGTCCCTTAATCATAACAATACCAAATGTTAGTCGATGATAATTGTATTAGGACTGATAAAATACTAGGCTTGCATCCTCTGGCTTCCCAGTTGTTTGTCGAGCCGAAACGTCCCGCCACGCAAACATTCGCGCAGACCGTACAAGCCGCTATCTTCTTTCCCCCAGGAAACTACGGTCGCGTGAGTAGCATTACGGGATTATTAGCGGATGGAAACTCCGCAAGCGGGCTCTCCTATACTAGAAACAGTTGCCTACATATTTGATGAACAACGGCTATATAATGAGGCTCCCGTTCCCATCACTCTTTCTCGTTCCCCTATGGTTCGTCACGTGAGAGTGTGAAACCATTTCAGAATCGATACTTCAGCATCAAGAATATCTTTTCTTCAAGCAACTTTTCGTTCAAATTTATAATATTTCTCGTACAATAAGTGACGCGTTGAGAAATTCAAATGTACACCACAATAACGCGTAACAGAGCAAAAAACGATATTTGAAGTAGTAAAAAGTTCTCTTTACGTTGAAAAAGAGAAGAGCTTCCTGCTTCGTTGGTCACAACTTGGTCAAATACGGTCATGGCCATTAACGTACATTATCGGTAAATTATTCGGTTTACATAATTTAAAACGGATGCAACCAGTTGATGTAATATCGAGTTATTAAACGAAGCGATACTGTGCGCATTGCTTTTATCGTCGCGTATTAATTTAACGTTGGCTCACCGAGTTAATGGCTGTCATGCTGCTAACTCGACCTGGATCTGTGTCCACTAGCCCGCTGTCACTCTGTAACAGAAACAGAAAGATAGCAATTTAGAGGATGGGAAAGATCGATAATTTCTCCTACTGCTGTTTGCACTCGAGCTAAATTTCGTATAAATCACTCTCACACGTTAAAGCGCGTATTCAGATTCGTAGAAATGAAAAGGAATTATTTAGAGATCCTTTTTTTTTTTTCATACCGCAGTTTATGTGTTTTCGAAGCGTAAAAGCAAATACACAATTTCCGGATGCAAAATTGCAAGCAGGGCGTATTGTTAATAATTTCGAAAATGCAATATTGTGGAAAGTGAACAGCATTCATATATGAAAATCATTCGCACTGTGGAATCCCAACGTACGTAAAAGCCGAGTGCACTCCACCATCCGATGAAATTTTCTGTAATCACTCGCCGTTAGAACTCGGTTTCATCAAATGTATACTGTTTTTCCATGTTATTGCTTCGTAATGAATTAATCAAAATCAAGTTTTATGTTTAAGCAGATATAAAGTATATTCAAAAATTAAAATAAAATATTAACGCTATATAAATTCATCTCTCCGTCCGAATATTTTAATACGTATCTTTCATGTAAATAAATTCTTATACGGGCGTAAAAATATCTCAAATTTCCATTCGACTGTGTGGCTCGAATTACACAAAGTATCGCGGAAATGCGATATCGAAGCGGGTATAAAATACTTCAAACAAACGCTCTCGTCGAACAGAACTTTCGAAGGTTCTGTGGCATTTTTCCTCGTCGGTCAACGCGCTAAACATTCTTTGCACTCCGCATATCGCATTTTATGAATGTCTGTTTCTTTCATTCGCTAGCCTGCGGCGTTTCAATCTCCCGAAGCTCGCCAGCGAAGCGCGTTTGCTCAGATTCGTTCGTGAATTTTTAACATCCGATATAACCGTTCCAGTCATCGGTCACTCTCGATGGATCTGGATGGCGGGATCCGAGATTACCGAGATGGAAATTCTCTAGAAAGAAAATGACGGCGAGTCGTTTGAGCATGTCGGACAAGGGAGGAGTACGTTGACGATGACGGCGACGACGACGTTGAGAGAAACCGAGAAACTGGCCTCGTAGAAGGTGCAGCGAAGAAATAGTACAAAGGATGAGGGCGGCGATGGCGGTGTCGGCTGCGGAACCGAGACGAAAGAGCCGACGTGCAAATGTCGTTCTGAACTTTGATCGTAAAACAGCGGCAGACTTCTCGGGTGGGTGGAGCATCCGTCTTGAACCACTGCCAAATCGGTTAAGCGCGAATAAATTTCCGTGTCAAACTTCGTATGAACGAAGGAGCCGACGGTTCCTGCGTGTCGGGCAAGGTTGGACTTGTGCTGCCGGAAATGGAACGGAGAGTTCTAATGTCTACGTGAGCAAAGAGAACGTGAGATGAACTAGAAAAAAAAAGCGAAAAAGAAAGGAAGAAGTATGTTGTATCAATGCTCGCTGATAATATCGAGTGTATTATACTATTATAATATTATGATGAAAATACAACCCAAGTGTAAGATCGTCTCTTTTAATAGTTCTTTTACGATCAATTAATAAGTAATCTTAATTTTGCTCTTAATAACCGAGATGATAAAAATTAAGATTACTGATTTATCCACGTGATATGTTAAAAATATTTAAAAAATTCTAATAAATTGTAATACTCTTAAAAATTACATACAAATCTTCTAAATTGGAGATGATTGAAACCCCTATTCTGTAAAATGTGCGTAACAACAATGTAACGACATCGACTCTGCAGTGATTAAGAGTTACAGAATAGAGACCTTAGTATTTTATCAAAATTTTATCAAATAATTAAATCTCATTCATAGAGCATTTCATTCTAAATAAAAAAATCTGGACAACAATATCAGTGTATAATAAAAATGCAATATGTGTCTCTAAATAATTAATCAATAATTTGATTTATATTTACAGTTTTCTTAATTACTTTTGGTAAAATATGCGCTATTTTTTGTAGAATAACCGGCCATATAATAAACGGTAATAAAAACCAAAAGCGTAGCATAGCGAGAAATTTCCCCCGAGTCATTCCATCTCGAATAAAAGCTCAACTTACATATTGTTCTAACGAGCAGAGAGCTCGTGTATAATGAATAAACAGCAAACGCAGACGGGAGTTTCGCGCTACGCCATTACGCGCCAACGTTGCGAAACGCGCAGCAAAAAGACGTATCTGACTGTCAGTTTGTCTAACAGAGGCAGACGAAGCGTAACCGAGGTATGACGAAGATGTAAAGGTGTCGTCCCGGGATGCCCGAGGAATACAAAGTCGCAGGCTGTAGCGGCTAAAACGAAACGGCGAAAAGTCATAAAACGTATTATGACTGCCTCATAATTTACAGCGAAGCGACCCGCGCGAAATCGCCGTCGACTTTTCGCGACCGGATTTACGACATGGAGGAGCAATGTCTGCATGCACATTGTTTCGCTATGTAGTTTTTACCAAGCGACAAGAATCCCACGATAATCAATTATCGAAATAGTGTTTGAATAATAAAAAGAACACTTTAATTTAATGTATTGTGTCAACTTTGAAACCGCATAATATTATTAAAAAAAAAAAAAAAAAAAAAAAGAACAAAGATTTTATTCAATTACAAAATATTCATAAAAATACCGTAGAATAAATATATAAAAGTAAACACATGAGATGTTAATTGCATTATATAATAATCTCTTACAATTTCCATGCAATTTCATTACTGGTCACACTCATCACATTTCCATAATGCAATTCGCAATAATGATACAAGTTTAACTAGGTACTATTCGCTAATTTACTTTAATTTCATGGACAAGATTACGTATTTTTTGTACACACGCGAGAATTAACGTTTTGGCAGGTTAACGCGTGAACATCTTAATTTCGACGTTGTTTGGAAAGATCGATTCAACAACGATTCGTCTGGTAATCCTACGGTCAGGTCGATTATGCACCGTCACGAAGCGGAATGAGAATTCTAAAGCACGTCAACGCATGTCGAGCGACATATAGCGAACGCGAAAGGTCGTCAGAGCTTCATTACGCTCTAGCTCGACAGCCGGGAGGGTCAAAGTTAGGCGAATGTTATTAACGTTCTACCTAAATCCCTCAGCTATCCTCGAAAACGCGGCGCATCGAACACGGAAATGGGCACGATACATGAGTTAGGCTAACGGAAGATGGTTAGAACATAGTGCGTTCTCTTGCCCTCCCTCTGAATTTGCGGATATCCGTATATCGGATATCCAACATTCGCGGGCCTCCACATTCGCGACGATTTTGATAATCTAAAATTCCGTCCGGCAATTCAACTTTTTAAACGAATGTTCTACCATTAATAAAAGTGTAACATGCGCGATATAATGTGACATCGACGCGCGATAAAATTTAGCTCGCAAGATTTTGGCAATGATGTGCAAAAAAAAAAATGGCAATGATTAATTTAGATCACCGAGCGCAACATTCGTAACTACACGGTGAGTCTGAATTAATCGCACATTCGTGAAATGCGAATCATTCCGGATTGCTGCAAATGAATATCGAGTAACGCCGTACAAATCTCGTTGGCGGTATATCCAATATTCGGAAATCGCGTTTTCCGGGTAACGAATTATATGATGAAGCAAACATTATAGCGTTCAATATTGCACAACACTCTAATACGTGCGGAAATAAAAAGCTTCGTTAGAACGTTTATAGTCAGTTTTAATGAACAATCAAGTTCATCAAAAGTATTAATGTATAAAATATGTAGGAATTAGTACAATTATTGTTAACTTAACAGTCATGATTACATGAACGAACTCGGTTCGTTTATTCAACCGAGTCGAAACAGTTCTCACAGGAAGGAACGAGAACGTGAAGAGCAAACTATTGCCTGCGACCATTTTTCAATATTAAAGAGGCTTTAGGGATGATTTAAATAAGCTCGAGAAAGAGAGCTTGGCGGTACGCGACCTGAAAAGTCGGACTTGTTCGATTTATGGCAAGACGCCGGAGACAGCTTAGAGTCTCTCTCTTTGCGCGCTCGCATTTAAACCTCGTCCTATCTCTACGCTGTTTCTCTTTGCTACTTTTCCTTGTACCACCTCATCTCTCTCCTTTTTATCGCTCTTAAGATCGCAGACGCGAAATCGTAAAAACCGAAGTTTATTGACATAATCAAGATTGATCAAGATTGTTGTTCCGATAAGGAAATACGACTTTGTCCGTTTGTTCGACATTTGACATGTATCATATAAAACTAAAACTTCTTTGATCTTCATACTTCATATATAACGCTTAATTAAGATTTATTTAAGCTTTGTATGATTAAAAAAAATGTTAATTATATCGATAGGATTAAAAAAATTCAAACATTGACGAAACAAAATTCGATCATACTTTTTTTTAAATAATATATCTCCAAATTATTTATACTTTAAAACAAACTTATTGTAAAACAAATAATTTCAAAATATTAAATTATAAAAATTATTGAAATATTATAAAATTCAAAATTTATTATAAAAATTTTATTATAAGATTTAATATCAATATATTTAGAAATTAAATAAATAATCTTTTTCAATTATTGCACAGTTATGCTTATGTAAGAAGACAACCAAAGAAATATCTTCTGCTAAATCGATCAGCATCGTCTTGAAATTTATGAGAAGAAAGTCACGTATAGTAAAAACTTTTTTCAAAGTATTGACAAAAAGAATACCTTTTCAGCAAACGGAAGTCCGAAAGGTTGACTAATGTCCAGTCGATAGCTATATTCAAAAGGCAAATGGATGTGAAGTCCGCGATTATTCACCGACAATCTCTCGACACGCGCCGCGGGCGTT